TATATATATATATATATATATATATATATATATATATATGTTATGCGGGATGTTTAATTACTAGTTCGAATTATTATTTTCTATTTGTTCCATCAATGATTATATTTGTGCCTATACACGTACATGTGTATATATATATATATATATAAGCATCATTTAGATTATGAAAATATATAAGATACATATAGAGATTATGGGAAGACCTAAAAACGTTTCGTAGCACAAAGCGTTATTCGGTGGACTTGGATTCCTACATATCTATTTGTGTGACGTATATATATATATACATATATATATATATATGTGTGTGTGTGTGTGTGTGTGTGTGTGTGTGTGTCTGTGTATCATTTTCGGTATTCTCCCACATAAAGGGTTTCAAAGCCAATAGTTAATTATCTTATTAGATTTTCCTTTATATGATATCATATACTCTAGAGATCATATATAACGCATACGCATTATTGTAACATATAAGACCATAAATCTGACAAAAATAATTTTAATAATATTTCACATGTTTTTTACAATATCTTTTAATAACTAATTAGATTTTTCGGTGTGTGTTTTCTCTCATACCGCACACGTATATCTTGTTAAATAGTAAAAAAGATGTTAACATAACATAAATTCTATTATAGATATTCCAAAATAGAATTTTGTTTCACCGATGCATTAATCACGGAATATGTTCCATTATAATGTTATGATATTGAAAATGGTGGTAGAATTTTGTTTGTGGGTTGTGTGAAGAAGACATGTTTCCATTCTAATTACTTTTAGAACACATACTAAAACAACGAAATCGAGAACAAAATTTTTTACCTTGCACAAAATTTGTAACGAAATATAAAGTTTTTTGCAACAAATTATGAAACTAAAAAAATTTGTACTAAGAAAAGTTATTAAAAGATCGCGAAAACACAGTGAATATTTCGTTACTGAGTTGTAAATGAATTTTTTGTTTAACATTGTAAAATCGTTACAAAATATATCGAATATCGAAATTTTATTATCTGTTCATTTATATCGAAAACCCGAAATTTTGTTAATCCATACTCATCAATACAATGCAACCCAATTTGGTTGTTTATAAATTAAGAATTTCAATTGTTGTGAAACTTTTAATATAATCAAAGGCCGAATTGAATCAAATTTTGGAGAGAAGATGCAAAATCATATCTGCATGGGAAAAAGAAACCCTAGAAATGCATGGAACGTAATTAAAGAGGGATCGAGCGTACGTGCTTACCCAAACGCAAGAATCATGCATGCATGTCTTCACTTTTCCTTTGCATTTTTGGTGTGGGTCCCTTCGTGTCCATCCCTTTCGATCTCGATAACGTGAAAAAGATTCCCATATATATATATATAAAAAAAACAAATTAACGAAAACCAAACAAAAAGAGAGTTTCTTTTCAGACGTTAAAATAATAATAATAATAATAATATTTGTATGAAGAATAGAATTTGTAGAGATGGAGAGAAGGGCGAGGTTTGT